CTCTTAAGAAATGCACGCTGCTTTTTTGTACGATCTTTTGTTTCTACCGGCCAGTCTTCTGAAGAATTAGCTAGGGTTAGAGGGACGCTTTTCAACTGTCTACCTGGTCTCTAAGCTTAATTAAATTCTCCAGTCCCCTGAACTTGAAGCACTATATTATAGCTAATATTATAAAGTTAACTCTGAAAATCTTTCACTGGCTATCGAATTATGAAATATTTTCTATACAAATTTAGTGATCGGTTTGCAGTAGCTGCAAACCCTGCTTTGGACTTAGAGGATATTAATTATGGTAAAAATTTCATCTTATTTTTTATTATATCTTATTCATAATTGTGTTCCTCGTTCTTCCTTTGTAGGATGGCTCCTGAAGTCGCGGCTGTTGAACGAAAAGGTGGATATGATGAAAAATGCGATATTTGGGCTGTAGGTATAACCTCAATCGAGTATGCTGAATTGCAGCCGCCTATGTTTGACCTACATCCTATGAAGTTAGTTTTTACCATTTTTTTACAACTTTAGTTAACCTGTAACACTATTTTGATCAACGTAACAGGCTTGAGAGAGCCTTAACTTTTTTATTTGGCCTTGCTATAGCGAGTTTTCCTTCTACTATGATAGGTAGTTAACGTGCTACATTTTTTAGCAATTACTATTATCGAGACAACCTGAATCGTCTCTAGCCGCCTAATATGTATAACGGCCTTATGCCTATAATTACATTATTTAAATCACATCCTATGATAAAGACAAAATTTGGGAGAAAATAACTTTTATTTTTCTATGTAGCTAAAGACTCACTTTCCATGCAAATTTCATTATTTTTCTCACCCTATATTATTTTCTTCATTTCAGGGCACTCCGTATTCTCGGTATGAGAACGTACAAGCCGCCTGTTTTACAGAACAAGTCTTATTGGTGAGTATTTTTTTAGACATTGAGGCTTCTACTGCTTACCTAATATAAATACCACATTAAATTTATTTTTATTTCTTTATTTTATATCCTCTATAAGAGAGGCTATCAAACATCATAACTGGTAAATATTGTATTAAAAATTTTACTGATCA